GCGAGTTTTTATTGGTATTTTTAATTTAAATGAATGTTAACGGGATTAAATTTTTTCTCGCGAGATTAACGCGGCACACGTCACAGCGGATGTTTCGTTGCTCTATAGATAAGCCAGAAACAAAACAACAAGCGCGCTGCATAGCTCCACGCACGTTTGTTTTGCCAGCCACGGCAGTGCGAGACACCGAAAACGGATACTTAAAGAGTTTATGAATGGAAAGTTTAATTTTAAAAAGTTGCCAGATTGCTCCACTGACAAGACCAAAGTTACCTGTATCATACAGGTATGCGATTTATGCCACTGACGCGATTGTTACTTGTTTGGAACTATTTTGTGTGGAAGGTTACAGTGTTCCGTGTCCATCTAAATAGAGTGGGTGGAGCTTCTCTGTGTTTGTCTGACAGTGACGGTGCGCTGAGGCGGTGACATGACAACAAAAGTTCAGCGGTGCAGTGGTAGCGACCTAGCGAAAAAAAAACGTCTCCAGCGTTGTCATCGAACCAAGTCGGCAATGGCCTAAAAGAAATCCATAGGAGTGGGGCAACATCATGATGGAAAACTAGTTTTTAAAGAGGAAGATTAGAAAAATGGGAAAATTCAACTGCTAAAAAGATCAAAACAAAAAAAAAAGAATATGTTCACATTACAAAATGTGAAAACAATTTACAATTTTGCTACAGTGTGGCATTAAAAAAAGAAGCACGTAATCTGCTTTAGCGGGCCACAAACAATGATCCCGTGAGTTTGCAACCTGTGTACTGGGGATAATTTGTTTTGTAAACAGGAACAACAAACCAGCATATAGTTTACATTAGTCAATAATTAAAATTAAAATTAAAAGCTGCTGGAAACTGTAGGTACAGTAAGTATAATATAAGTGTATATATTTAAGTAAGTACAGTATAGTAAAAGTATTTAAGTATATATATTTAAGTAAGGAAGTATAAGGATATATATATGATTTTAACTGACTTACCAGGTTTGCCGACCTTTCGAATGTATGTAGTCGGACAAAAAATCTCCGTTCAAGTCGTTTTCCTCAAGCCGGGACCACTTGAACGTGTTCCTAACACTCGCGTCTATTGCACGTATGTCAGGTTGCCTGTCTAGCGGTTTGAACATTGCGCTGGGGCCGATCACGCATAAATTACTTTACACAAAACGCTATTCAAATACTCGACATTCAATGATTAATCTGCCTTTTGTGTGCACACGTGCACCCTTTGTGACTTCCGTTCTTGCCGAAATTTCGAAATCTCCAATATGGACGAGGCCATTAGAATGCGAGCGGAGGGGTGTTACTGTTACTAGTATTCGTGTCTCAACATAGCTATGCTCGTGAAAGCAAAACAACGAACTCAAACGCGTGTTCGTTCAATGTTGTCAACTAATATCTGGATTAATTTTAGGCAATTTTCCGGAGGAATTTTTAATGAAAATTTGAAAATCCGGAATTCCGGGAAAATCCGGAGGACTTTCATCACTGCTATCTGTAGGAGTTTGTTCGTAAATCAAAATGGGTGACTTCCTGGTAGGTTTGGCATCTGGCTCCATAGACTTTTATGTATGTCTTGGGCTGTTTGTTACTTATTCCTCCCAGTTTTCATAGCTCTTGGTCAAACGTAAAACCGAGAATGCTTTGTTAAAGTACCGGTAGGAATTTTTAAAGGCAAAATTTAATGGCCCGCCCCCATCATACATGTCAAAAAGTTTTGATTATTTCTTCTGTTGCTGTCACAGGTGTTGAGATGATGTCAACCTCGGTAGGGGGCACCATTCATACAGGCCCAATGTCAGTGCAAAGTTTGGGGTGTTTTCATTTTGGTGTGGGGCCTCAAAAATACAAATCTTTGCGGAGGGGAATAATAATAATAATAATAATACCATCAGAAAAAACTCGTTGCTGTTTGGGCCCCACTTATATATGTACATGATTGAATATTGAATTAAAAAATAACGTGCTTGTGCGTGTAGTGCTCGAAAATACTTGACTTCTTGAAAATACTTGACTTCTGACTTCTTTGAAAGCCCAGTAACTTGGTTAAAACTTGGGTATAAAAAGGTGAATTCATTTTGAAATTCCTTATTGCATAAAAAAATATACCATCGTGGCTTTGTTGTTCACCTTACCTTTGCTGTTTAAATAAAGTTCCCGTGGATCAGAAGAATCTTTGCTTGCGCTAGCATCCTTGTTGCATTTAATCTTCAAGCGTAGCTGAATTGTGTCTATTTCCGAAACTTCGTCCTCTGCGGACTCCTTATCTAAAATAAAACCATAACATCAGATGTCCTGTAAATTTCTGACATAAAAATCCCAAACAAAAAGTGCCACTATGTACAATATCTAGCAGCAAAGAGCAGAAAATGCAAAAATATCGGCTGATCCGATCCAGCTGATCAGATTGACGTAAAGTCTATGCATAGCATACAAAAATTGTTCATCTGCATTTAGTGTAGTGATATATAGACGATGTGCCTTTAAGCACATGATTATTAAACAGCTTTGGTGATTTACATGTTGAAACTTTTTTTGATCTTTGAAAATTGAAATCTTTGTATGAAAATTCTCACAAAAAATGCTGGGAACTCCCAGGCTCAGGTGCATGTAAACATCTCCTGAAAGTTTACCAGAGTAAATATTTTTCTCAAAAGTCAATACAAGTGAAATGTTTGTCATTCACAGACAAGTGCATCTTCAACATAGCTATGAGCCAGAAAAATAAACGTCTCATCAACAATTCCTGGCATTTTTATCCATGAGGGAGCAACTAAAGTTGAACATGATACCGTGGCCTTCAATTTTTTTGATGTGAATGTTTAATGTAGTTTAAAATGGAACCACAAACATCTATACAGAGTTGCACTAATACAATGAAAGTATCTAAAAAAAAAGAAATGAATGGAAAAGCTTGAAAGGCCCCACGCCAAAAAAAAAAACCCAAACCAAAAAAAACACGACTTGGTTTTCAATGTTGGTTTTATTTGAACTTTATAAGTGTTTCATTTTCCTTCATAAGCATGCATATTTTAGCATGCATATTTTAAAAGTACAGTGAACCCTCATTTATCATGGGGGTTACGTTCCAAAAAGAACCTGTGATAGGTGAAATCCGTGAAGTAGTCAGCTTTATTTTTTACAGTTATTATACAACATTGAACTATGTATACAATGCAGAGGCGATTGCTCTAAGACTGCAAGGGAAGCTCAGCTTCCCCTAAAATGACAAAAAGTAAGTGATCAAATATGTGTGTGTATTGTGTGGACATGTCATTGACTAAATATGCGCTACAACGCGCTCAACTTTTGTTCCGAATCAGCTTCTTATGACTGGTTACGACGCGACTTTCTTCTCATTCATTCCCGCAGCTTCACTGTGCTTTAAACTGTGTGGACGCCGAGCGTGTACAGCGCGGACGCTGGTCGTCGAGAGAGTTCAGGGTAGGTTGTCCTAAAGCATTGAAACGAGACGAGTCATTGGATAAATGCTGGTTTTGTCCCACCCATTGGACGCTCAGCGTCTCTGGGAGTCTATGGACAGTGGACGTTTATAGGCTGGCTCGGAAGCTCAGGTTTTCTGCATGATGATTAAATGATCTGTCTGAGTCTGAATCTCTTTTTGATTGACAGTGGAATGAGCCAATCACCGATCTTATGGTGAAGGCACCATTTTCATTTTTTTGAAAAGGAACGGAGAGTAGAATTCACGTATAAACAAACAGACACATTTTATGATGTAGGCCGAAATTGAGCTTCCCCTCCTTGACAGACCAGCATCCGCCACTCATACAATGAAACCAAAGACCAAAAATTTGCAAAGGTAAATTTGGCAAGCTGCACAGAGACGAGGTGCGGAGACTGTTCACGTTGGTCAGGCCCTTAGCCAATCAGGATGCAAAACACAATTCACTGTTTATAAAAAAAAGCATTAAAAAAACTGCACTAAAAAAATTTGTGAAACAGCGAAGCCCGGGAAGGTGAACCGCATGATAGCGAGGTTTCACTGTACTCAATTGAACTACACAATCAAAATGTGGTATGCACCTTAAAAAAAGATTATGAGGAACGCATTGTTTTTAGCATTACAAATTAGTATATTTTCAGAAACTAGGTTATGTGTTTTATTATGAGTTGCCGTAGATGGCTTCTGGCAAATACGTCATGTTCCGAATGCTCCGATTTCCCAACTCGTGAAGGCAACACGCACGACTGTGTGCTATTTCTGCTTCGATGGCAACAGCGGGCATACAAAATCTGTTTTGGTTGTGGATCAACGTGAATTCAGTGATTAATGCCTCCATAATCCATAGTAGATGTTAGAATAACAATCAGGGCATGGTTTTACAATTGCGGCAAACACACATGGTAAATCAGGCACTAGCCACAAAATGCTTCCTTTTTCGATGTCCCAGCATCACTGACTAATGCCGCCATAATCCATGAGTAGACGCTCATAACGTGCAATGGGACATTGCATTACGTAAAACACACACGGTAGCCAGCGTGTGCTCATATTAGCTACCAAACACGTCCCTCTGTCAGAAATACAGTATAATCATGAATCAGCCACAACGTGCTTCCTTTTTCAACGATCGATTATCACCGACATGCTGCCATTAAAGAGAGGTTTGCATAGCATGATGTATTTTTGGTGAAATGCACCCGGAAGTTCAGGCTCTATTGCTACATCGCGGGCCAAGCCATGACACCGCATTACCCACAACATTTACATCTCGGTTGACCTGGATAATCACAACTGGACGTGCGCGTCAGAGACAGGCATACAGCCAGCAGAAGGAGCGAGAGATGAGGCAGTTTCATGAAAAAAGCGGCAATTTACGAAGTCCATACTGTAAATAAACAACTCGTTGACCATTTAACCCTTTCAGGGAGAGCGGTTACTACAGTGGACAGCTGATCATGTTATCAGGTTACAGGTTATTATTATTTGTGGACGAAAGTGTTAATTGTCGATTCTGATCATCGACGTCATCGTGACTAATTGTGGCAGCCCCAAAGTCATTCAGTTAATTTGGTTCATTCAGTCAGGTTATGCATTTGAGGACAAAACTCTTCACTTCCAATCTCTTATATATTTTTCATTGATTATGCGGTTGACGTAGACATTTCAAAAGCATGCTCTAAGTAAATGATGCATTGCTCTCCTAAGTCAATGTAAAAAAACATCACAGATATGTATGAGGACTTACCAATACTTCTGTACTCAAACAGAGAGGGGTCAGCTTTGATGGGGATGAGGCCTAATCTCTGTGCCAGCACTTCATCTTGGACGATCGATGTGTTGTTGTAAATAAAAACCTTTTCAATGGCCATGGTGGGCACCTGGAAGCATAAGCAGATATTCTCACACAAAGCAACACATGACAATGAACACTTCTTTTCAGCTTGTCCCATTAGGAGTCGCCACAGAGTGTCCTCCTTTCCCATCGAAGTCTATCCTATAACACAACCTGCCCCCCTGTCTTCCCTCACTACATCCATCATCCTGCTCTTAGGCAGGCATCTTGTGCAGGCCATTCGTATCTGTCAGTGGTTCTTAACCTTGTTATAGGTACGAATCCAACCAGTTCATATGCACATTCACCGAACCCTTCATTAGTGAAAAATAAAAATATGATTTTCTTTTTTTTTTTTTTACAACTTCAAGACATTAAAAAAACACATTTATTAAAGCAGAAAAAGTCAACAAAATTAGTGTAAGTATAAAGTATAAGTTTTTTAATTGTGCACAAAATGCCAGTGACGGCCAAGCGGGTATGTCATAACCAATTGATATGTTGAGTCGGGTGTGTCTTAACCTCCGTGGCAGAGGTTCTGTCGAATGGAATCAAACATGGTACTTCTGCACTGAGAGGTTGCCATCCTCTTTCTAGCTTTTGCTCCAAAATATCTAACTTTGGCTGTCCTTCGAATGAGCTCATTTCGAATCCTATCCATCCTGGTGACTCCTAAAGAACACCTCAAGATCTTAATTTCCGCCACCTGCCCGCTCTACTTCCTTTCGTTTCTTCAGTGTCACTGTCTCTTATCCGTACATCAATTATAGCCGGCCACCCCACTGCAAATATCATTTCAGAAACTTTCCCCTGCATCCTGGCAGAGACTCTCAACACACCCATGACACCTACTCCACCCGTCCGTGAATTCAAGTATTTAACATATTATTGTTGAACTCTTAAGTTTTTGCTCACTTCAAGAACTACATTTTGATTTTAGCAATTTTTTGTAGTTTATTATTCATTTTAACTGAGCAAGGCACAGGTTTACCGATGCAGAAAATATTCAACTTGCTTTTTAAACATTAACTAGTTTGGGGTCAATGAAAAACGTTATTTACCCTAAAAATTCTAAATTCTACATTTTAGAACTGCAATATCGTGAAACTGTTCTATGTAAAATTTGCTCAAGGTTATCATATCTTCAGAATCCAATGCCTGCCAATACCCAACTGTAATAATGTGCAAGTGCATCTTTCAGTCAGCAAATATACCCTTTTAAAGAGCAGTTTTGAGCAAGATAAAGTTACATGATGGAGAAAGCTTGAACCTCTTCTTGTAGAGCCATTGGATTACTGCCATGTGTCAGAAATATGAAACCCAAGATTTTGGTTTTGCCTCTGCAGTGTCCCAAGCTAAAAGGATACTTTAGGTACTATTCATGCATCTCTACTTTCTTTGCATTTTTTTTCCTTTAAAACTTTGTGAATATATTGTAAGATGGTCATTTTGATCACTAAAGAGAAGATAAATCAATCGGAAATCTGTATTACTTTACTGTAGAGCAAAAACGATTTCATATGGAATCATGAAACTGCATCTAGGAAACAAACCTCTGCTAGTAAGATCCTTCTGAAAGCATTGGCGATAGCTGCATCGACCCCCGCCATGTCAAACTCCATCAAGTTTTCAGTGAGCTCTCCAACATCAATTCTGAAGTGCTGCAAAACATGTGAGTATGTAATTATTGCAATACAGTACACCCCCCTGTCTCCTCTGCACAACAAAAGCAACCGGGGCAAGCAGGTCCTCTCACTTACTTAACGGAAACATAAAAGCCCATATCATGTTTGTTTGTTTGTTGTTTATTGTTATTTATTTGTTATATATGATTAACATAAAAACATATACAGTAATAAATTCACAGAAAGTAAGGTAAGTAAAATAGTAAAAAGGAAAGAGAAATCAGTCATCATACAACACAATTATTATGTTCAAAGGAGTAGGAAGAAGTAAAAAACTTATCTAGCCCTACCCCAATGTGATGTGATCCAAAACACAAACAGCGAATAACTAGGAAATATGTTGAAAAAGTTGAAAAAGTTTCCTAAATGAGTGCCCAGTGTCCAGAAAAGCACCACAGAAATCAAATGCATTATTAAGATTATTAAAGATCAGATTTTATTCCGAAAGCAAACGCTGCAAGACGCCTTCTCACCCATGAGCGTCAGTAAGGCACAAATGGGTTATTTTCAAGCTTCAATGTAAACAGTAACACTGTGTTCACATTGTAGGCATATCTGATTCCATTCAGATTCCTCCTCAAATCCAATATACAGGACTGACTGTCCACACTGTATTTAGCAAATGCACAAATGGGACCTGGCCCTGTTCGGACTGGGCCATATTATTAACCCATCTGACGGTTTAGTGTGGTCACGACGTCGGAACGAAGGCGCCATCAAGCACGTGGAGTGTATGACATCGCTGCCTCAAATACCGTATTTTCCGGACTATATGTCACATTTTTTTCCAGTGCGATTTATACTCTGGAGCGATTTATGTATGAAATTATTAACACATTAGTGTATTATATCATTTCACGTTATTTTCACATTAAACCCCAAGAGGGCGCGCTATGCCTAAGTTGATAAATCGACCATGAGGCCGACATAAGCGATGTAGAAGAGGAAGCGCTGCATCTTTTACCTGCGGAGTTGTTTAAAAGTGACACAGAGGATGAGGATTTCATTGGATTTAGTGATGTGGAGAGACACTGATAGTTTGGTAAACTTGTTAGGATGTCCTTTATGCTACCGTTATCTGAATAACTCTTAATGTGTGACGTGAACATACCAGGCACGTTCTCAGTTCGTATTTTATGCCTCAAGTTACGTTAGCATATCTTACACTTATTCAGCCTGTTGTTCTCTATTTTTATTTGCCTTTCAAGTTGACATGGCTGTTCTTGGTGTTGGATTTTATCAAATAAATTTCCCCCAAAATTACGACTTATACTCCAGTGCGACTTATGTTTTTATCTGCGTTATTTTGCATTTTATGGCTGGTGCGACTTATACTCAGGAGCGACTAGTAGTCCAGAAAGTACGGTACGTGAAATGATCTTTTATGCCACATGCCGGCCTCTTTCCTATCAATGCGTGCAGGTGACAGTGCTTGAAAGGGAGACGATACAGACAATCATCTGTGAATCTGCAAAGGTGTTTTTAGGAACAGCTTAGTAACATGCTCTAAAAGGTGGATTTAGTCATACACACATCCATACACTTATTTTCTGTATGGGTTTCTCAGAAAGTGTGGTCCAACCGAGTGGTAAAACGCTGACCCATCCTTGAGAGTCATTATTTTCTCCCCTTTACGATCAATCACCAGATTTCACTGCTCACAATACTCAAGGTATTCTGAAGACATAAAATGAATAACTTGACTGAGATATGTGCTGTTGTTTGCCCGTGAATGTATTTTTAGTGGTGAAAAATAGCCATCGTGGCCACTTCCCCTTCATATATGACTACACAGCCATGCAATGAAGAGGCCATTCGACCCTTAAAATGGATCAGATTTAAAACCAGCTATTACCAATGGACTGGCAGAATGTCAAAGCAACAAAATACTTCATCGAGGAACATGCTGTCCATGATATGATGATAATACGTCGCCAAAAAAAGAAAAACAAAAAAGGTTAGGTTCATTTGTTTCCAAGAGGTGGCACTCATGATCTACTATTAGGGCTGAGTTTAAAATTGAACATAAGCGGTTCAGATAATGGATAGATGGATGGATTAGTCGAATCGATTTTCCTTTTCATAGTCTCATATCGATTCAGAAAACCATAAACCTAACCTTTTAATACATGTTTTTCCCATAAATTCAAGTGACTTCGCACGTCACGCAAGATCTCATCACTACTCAAGAGTAGCGTGTAAACACAACATGGCAGAAGCACTGAAATCAGCTACGAAAGGCTTGAAGGCAAATGTCTGGAAGTTTTCTTGGTTTAAAAAAAATACAAAGACAGCAATGGACTCAAACTTTGCGAGACAGTTCATGGAATGTTTAATGCGATGAATACAGTATGTTTTTGCCACTTTTTATTTATTTATTTTGTTTTTTACACAGCTTGGCGGGTAGCTCAAATTGATTTACATTATTATTTATCGTTTTGATCTGGTCACATTCAATAAAACGTACATGATTAATGTAACCGTATTGGATTTAATTCTTAATGTAAATATTAATATTTTACAAATGCACCAAGTTAGAGCAAAAAGTTTCTACTATTTTCAGCAATGCTTCTTCTGAGAATGTCTTCCATATGAAAGTAAAATTGGTACTGCCCGAAATCCTGAACTGAATCAAAAATTAGTAAAAGTGAATCATAAATTGTATCAAATCGTTTTGGAAATCTGAGTTGATAACCAACCCTATCTACAACTGCAATTTGCTGTATACTTCAGAGATGAAAGTGGACTTTTCTGAAAATTCCAGAATAAATAAATAAATAAATACACACACACACACACACACACACACACACACACACACACACGCATGAATTAGTTTACGCAAAACGCTATTCAAATACTCGACATTCAATGATTAATCTTCCTTTTGTGTTCACACGTGTACCCTTTGTGGCTTCCGTTTGGGCCGAAATTTCGAAATCTCCAAGATATGGCGAGGCCATGAGAATGCGAGGCAAGGGTATTACTGTTGTGGCGACACCATTCAAGGTAAGCGAGCCTCAGCAGTCGATATTCCGCTGCTCTCTGCTGTGCGTGCTTCAGCGCGAACATGTACGCAAGCGCGTCTTTTGATTTCAACCAATCAGCGTCGACGCAAATGACGTCACACACGACAACAGCTAAGCTAAGTTAGCCGAGACGACACTCGAACGGACGGACACGATTTTCTGCCAATCTGTGTTTTTCCCTTTTTGGCCAAATATATATTTTACGACAACTGTCTTGTTGACGGCCTCTTTTATTCTTTCCACTGGGGTTTAGCGGGTGTGTTTATAAAGAGACGAAAATTGTTTGGGGACTATCCCCCACGTTCTAGTTGAGATGGTATAACCCAAGAGGCAAAATGACGCTTGCTACTGTTGTTGCGAGTTGCCATTCGTTCTACTAAACCATAAGTCAAACGCCATCATGTCTTCTGTCGTTATTACACAAACAAAAATCTCTTTACTGTTACTAGTGTTAGTGCCTCAATATGGCTACGCTCGTGAAAGCAATACAACGAACTCAAACGCGTCTTCGTTCAATGTTGTCAACTAATATCCGGATTAATTTTATTATTTATTTTATTTTCCTCAATTCTCCGGAGAAATTTTCATAAAAATTTGAAAAACCCGGAATTCCGGGAAAATCCGGAGGACTTTCATCTCTGATACTTCCAGCGGGACGACCTGATATAAACTGAACTGAAAGTTAAATGGAATCGCTGTAAAATACGATATTACCATTTTTTTAAACTATTTTTTTTCTTTTAATTCTACAATGTGTTAACTATGTGTCAAGTGTGACATCCTTTTCATTGGTCATGCAAATTCAATAAAAAAACATGGCTCTCATGTCACACTCTTGGACCATACTTACTAAGAACCACCCATACACAAATCCATTCAGTAATCATAAAACATAATTACTATTTATGTACCTTCTGGAATTTCTGCATATCCCAAGTGTCATTATAGCCAGGGTAGTTTCCAGGGAAATCAGTTGTGTGAACCTGAAGTGAACAAGTGTATCCGTAAGCTTAGTAAATTATTATATGTACATTGTGACAATGTTAAGCAAACATTTAAAGGTCATATACACACGTGGAGATAGAGAGAGAGAGAGAGAGAGAGAGAGAGAGAGAGAGAGAGAGAAAGAGAGAGAGTGCACTGATGCTGAGATTTTGTGTAAAATTAAAATTTGCAATCCCTTAGAAATTGGGTGTGAATGTTGAGATGCAAGGAAAAAAAGACGAAAATGCTGGTAATAAACTGTGCTAAGCAGTAGTGCATTGAACATTTATTTAGGAATTTAGATTTACAAGAGCATAAGAAACAATGTTTTGACGAATGTTGCAACGAGTATTACCAGTACCATTTTCATACTTTACTTGCCGAACTAACATAAAATTCAATTGTTTTACTTAACGTGGAAAACGGGGAATTCATACGGCAAAACGTAAACATAACTTACATTTCTCACGCAAAATTCTCCTAAAATAACGCGATTACGGACGTCCTCCACGTTTCCACGGTCTGCCATTTCCGTTTCTATCTTCAATTTTCTTCTTCTTCTTCTTCTTCTTCTTCTTCTTTTCTTCTTCTTTCTTCTTCTTCTTCTTCTTCTTCTTCTTCTTCTTCTTCTTCTTCTTCTTCTTCTTCTTCTTCTTCTTCTTCTTCTTCTTCTTCTTCTTCTTCTTCTTCTTCTTCTTCTTCTTCTTCTTTTTCTTCTTCTTTGTCGATATCGTTGTCAAGACGGAGGCTGTGTCCAAATTCACAGGCGAAGTATCAACGTCCTCAAAGGGTCCTACGTCATGCAGACTCCGTGGACTGCATAAAGTTTGGACACTACGTGTGTCCATCTTGTGCAGGAAGTGACGTCACCCAAACGAAAAGCCGGCTTTCGGAGGACCCAACCTGTGAATTCGGACACAGCCATGATCTTGGGCCCCTCCACGATGTAAAACGAGCATGCGCAGGAGGTTGGCCATCTCTGATCACTAACTACGGCAACTACTATGGCACAACACTCGTCATGCCTGCGCAAACAGTGCTAAAAGATTCGTCTGAAATGCCCTCTCGTGACTCGTCTAATATTTGGCATTATCTTTAAAAATGATAATCTATAAAATGAGAACATTTAAGATATTAATTGAATTAGGATTAAATAACTTTTAAATAACTTTTGGTACATTGAAAATATAAACACTGGGATAATACAACTTTGGTAACAATATGAACACTAAAATAAATATATAAAACAAATAAAACAACAAACAAATGGAATTCATAAGTAAACATTTGGCATAAAAAATCAAAAACACTAGCATAATTAAAAGAGCAAAACAATAGATATTTAGCAATGTCTGTACATATTTTCCTCGCAGAATTGCTTGTTTCTATTTTCTTAAGGCATAATGAAAAATATTTTAAAGTCAGTCATAATTCCCGAGTAGGAGTGCTTACTAGTTCTCCATTTGGCACAATGTATATGGTATTTACTCATCAACAAAAGTATATTAATCAAGTGCAAAACGGAAAACTCGAAGACAGTCATCCATAAATAAAATAACTCCATAAAAAAATGAGATAATTCAAACTATGGAAAATTATTAATTTTCAACAACAACCATTTTTTAAATATCAGACCAAAAGCGAAGAACAAGCAAATCAGAGTTTCATCATGATTATGGCAGAAGGAACAGTTCTCTATGTCAAATTTAAATCTTTTCTTAACAAATTTTGCCACAGGACAGATCTTATTGATGATTTTAAAATGTGTTTGTTTGACTTGAGGCAAAACGGGCCATTTTTTTTTATAGTTCGTAAATGCTTTGTAGTGACTTACTTTGCAACATTTGAACCTTGCCGAACTCTACCATAATCATGAAATATTTTGGCCTTACCAATCAACTCTTTATGACATTTTTCATCAGAGAAAATATACTCTTCAATCAACAGTCTTGAAAATACTCTTGAAGCATAATTGTATATTTAAAAAAAACTTAATTAAATGAATCAAAGGCAAAGGCATGACGTTACATATTTTGTTTTACTCTTTCAGAACAATTCAACTGATATTTTCCCTTAAAGAGTGTAGAATTCCAAAAGGTCCCTTAGCTGTCGATTAAGTGAGTTACAAATACGACGCCCTTCTCAAACCAAATGTTTTTAAAGAGTGATATCCTTTTCATTGTAATTCCTCCTATCCTCCTGACTACCAGGAAAAAAAATGTTGTCCAATCACATTTATTTTGACATTCCCCAATCTATGTGAAGTAATTGGACTCCTCCAAAAGAAATTTTTGAAATCCCACTACATTTTTTAAACAGGCTCAAATACACTTAAAACAACTCAAACAACACTTTAACGTGTTCATAAGAGTCTTATAATTAAAATGCCAACAGCATTTCAAGGCAAAATGTGATCGATAAAAAGTATTATTTTCCTCTTCCCATAAAAAGTGCTTGCACTGAGGGAGGCCATTTTCTTACTTTTTCTAACCCCTACAAATTTGGTATCATTGGAAAGCACTGAATGTCCTCTTTAGAGTAACAAAAGGAGTTAATGCGATTGGAGGCACTGGGTGGGAGATATTTAGGTTCACAAATGTCCTCTACAGAGGACAAATTTGAACTACTGGTAGTCAGGAGGCTATTGTTTCATAAAACTGTCTTATGAGGAGAAAAGTTGTGGGCAAATATAATTTTCCAGAAAAAAAGTAGTTTTAAAAATTAGACAATTTAATCGGGATTCTGTATACCTCAACACCACATTTCAGAATAAAATCCAAACCTTTAATCTTCTAAAACAAAACCTTGGAATGTGGAACCACATGGAGTTAGGCTGCGACAGAAAAGCTTTGATCCAATTCACTCTAAATGTACGAATCATAGATTCAAATTCTGGAGCTTTAATACCACCGTTGTTATTGTCATGGTTTTGCTCTGTCTTTTTTTTTTATTTTCAGCAACAGCTGGAGTGGAGAGTGTGCCTCTTCTGGAGGTGTACCTGTGCCTTGTTACCAAGCCTGCCATGTATTTGATAGAATCCATTGTTTAATATTTCTATCGGAGATACATCTACAGAGAATGACGAGGGTGAATCAGTTTGGAAATACCTTCCACTTTTGATGTCATTCTGCCAAAAATAGTAAGGTCTCTACTGAACCAGCAATGAAATGACTTTTTCATGCCTAGTACAGTATATGGTGAGCAATATTTATGTCTTCTCTTCTACTAACATACTTTGATATTGTTAATCCTAGGTTTATTGTTGCAGATTTAACTTCCATTGAAACAACAGATGTGTCAGTATGAAGCAGAAGTTGTTCACTTTTTTCAATATTTAGAGATAATCCAGATGCTTTAGAAAATGTTGATGGTAATGAATTATTTTCCACCAGTAATTTATCACCAGTTATCTATCAGAACTATTAAAGACACGGGAAACAACAGCAAGTCTGTGTTTACACGTGAATCTCTCTTCAGAATGCTAACCAACCAACGGGGGATGGATGAATGTGCCTTCACCTGAAAATGTTAAAAAAGCTTATTTTAACAATTAAGTGTTATATTGTTCATATAAGTGTTTTTTTGACATTTAAAATTAACGCAATATTATAACAAATGGCGGCCCGGTGGTCCTGTGGTTAGTACATCGACTTCACAGGGCATAGGGACCGGGTTCAATTTCAGCTCCGGCCTCCCTGTGTGGAGTTTGCATGTTTTCCGCGGGCTTGCGTGGGTTTTCTCCGGGTACTCCGGTTTCCTCCCACATTCCAAAAACATGCATGGCAGGCTGATTGAACACTCTAAATCTAAATTGTCCCTAGGTGTGAGTGTGGGCGTGGATGGTTGCTCGTCTATGTGTGCCCTGCGATTGGCTGTCCCCTGCCTACTGCCCGTAGACAGCTGGGATAGGCTCCAGCACCCCTGCAACCCTTGTGAGGATAAAGCGGTTCGGAAAATGAATGAATGAATGATTCATTCAATGTTCAATATCAAATGAGTATTCATTGCACATCTGAGGGTATGGATACTTTGACAGTGCCTTTTCGTTCTACCTCTTAGCTGGGATGCATAAATCCTCGAGTTCTTCATTTCAATGATCAACTAAAGTAATTAGTTGTAATTTTATGTAGCTGGCAACCGATGCAGGGTGTCCCCCGCCTACTGCCCGAAGACAGCTGGAATAGGCTCCAGCACCTCCCGTGACCCTAGTGAGGATAAAGTGGTTCGGAAAATGAATGAATGAATGAATTATAACACATTGAAAAGGAATCAAATCAACATAAATCCAATATTTGGTGCATTAGTTTTAATGGCAAGTAAAATATAGTCAATTAGAACTTTAACTTGCTCAGGGTCGGATTTTTTTTTTCTGTGAGACAGCCGGTTCTTTTTCTCCCGGTCGTTTGCGCTCTCCCGGAATATTGTACCAATCCCTTTTCCTATCTTGAGTCTTTGTAGAATTCCAACATCATTCAAATGACTTTTCTGCTGAATGTGTCGTTTGAGGTAGTCCAGCTTCCATTTAGTACGTATTTTTCCATCGGAAAATTTGCTGACAGCTTATGCTTTATTGCATGTTTTGCAGAGCAGACCTTTCTCATTCGAAAAAGAAAATATCCCACCCAGTTTCACTGCTTGTTCACATACTCCGACAGCCATTCCAACTTAAAGGAACCGCAGTTCATTCTTATTTTGGTTTGGGGAGTCAACGTGTGTGTGTGTGTGTGTGTGTGTGTGTGTGTGTGTGTGTCTGTGTGTCTGTGCGTGATTGCGCGTGCGCGCGAGGACGGGATGCCCATATGTTTCTGGCTGTTTGCAGTGACACAGTAAAAAAAATGGCTCTTTGTCTCTGACTGGTTGGCCACCCCTGCAGCAAATTGATACAGAAAAAAAAAAGTTATATATCTTTTTTTGCAGTGTGTTCACTGCGCTGGCTCGGTTTTCTTGTGCGCTGAGAGTGTGCGACCAGTGCACAGTTGCGCAGCTTCGAGGGAACATTGGTGCCATTGCATCTCCAGTAAACGTAATTCGAAATGAAAGATACCTTTTGTTGTACAGTATTTCCTCGCGTCGGAAACCTCGCTTGTCTCGAAGCATAAGGCATTTAGAGGCTGCTGCGCCCTAGCGGTATGGAAGAGTACTACATGATTACTCTTCCAGGCGATCAACCGCACAGGTATACATATTGCATGATTTCCCACGGCACACCTGACAATATCTCACAGGGTTTGAAAAACACTGCTCGAAAAGACGAAAGATAATTCTGACATGGTGTTGGTTTTCTTCGAGTGTCCATGAAAAAAATCAAAATGTCATTCAGGTATACAAAACAAAATATATTCAATAAATCTCTCATAACATCAATCATGTTCTGAACAACGGCAGCAGCATTGGTGAAAACAAATGACATGACTAGTTATTCGAAATGACCCAAGGTTGTTTTAAAGGTGGTTTTCCACTCATCCCCTTCTTGAATTCTGACCAAATGCTCAGCGCTGCGGAGATCTAATTTAGAGAATATGGTCGCTGACTGTAGTGGTGCAAAGGCAGAGTGTGGTTCAGGAAGTGGGTATTTCTTGTTAA